GGAGCTCGATGCCAAGGAAGAGCGGCGTCGTAGCAAGGCCAACGCGGTGATGGATGAGGAAGTTGACAAGGAAGGGTGGCAAACGAGGAGGAGGTGAATCCTGGAGTGCTTGCAAGCAAGAACCTCGATTTGGATTCAATGGAATCGGTAGATGCCTCCTCTCCTTCTATCCTCTCCCCTTCCCTCCCCTCCCCTTCCCTTCCCTTCCCTCCCCTCCCCTCCTTTCCTCTCCCTTCCTCATTCTCAGTTAATCGTCTCACACTTGCTCTTCTCGCAGCTCGAGCCTTCGAGGGTGGATGAACGCTTTGAAGCCATCTACACCGACCCGGATTTTCGGGTGAGAAGAAGCAGTTCGCGGGAATTGCTTGGGATGACAGCTGGCCTGATAGCTGGACCCGCTGGATGAGAAGTACTCGTACGTGAAGGGGAGGGCCAACGTGCACCAGAAGCGATACGTGGAGCTGAAGAGGTTCATGAAGAGAGATGAGGAGAGGAGGGAGAAGGAAGCAAAGAGGAGGAGGAGGGAGGGAGGAGAGGAGGAGACTCTGCGAGATGAACCTGAGGACGTCAACTCCATCTTCGACAAAGCGAGGAGATCTGCCATGTCACTGCAGGCAACAGGGTAAATTTTCAGCTCATCTTTCCCTCCCCCCGCCTTTTCCTTTGGTGCCAGCTCCTCCCCATGATCATCCTTTTCTTCTTCTTCCTTTTACCTATTTCGTATTTCCTGCCCGCCTTCCCCTCCCTCCCCTCCCTCCTCTCCCTCTCCCTCCTCTTCTTCCTTCCTTCCTCCCTTCCCTCCCTTCCCTCCCTCCCCTCCCCCCACTGCCTCCACTCCCTCTTCTTCCTCGCCTCCCTTCCCTCTCTCCTCTCCCTTCTCCACCCGCCACCATCGCTGCATCGTTTCGGGGGATTGACGGCCATGAAGGAACAACAACAGAAGAGACGACGCTGAGAGGAGGGGAAGGCGGGAGATCTTCGGAGACTCGACCGATTCAGCGGCAGCGGGGGAGGAAGAGGCTGAGATCGGGGAGGCAATGATCGAAGAGCTTCCGGGCCCTTCCAGCGACTCGGGAGTGAGGAGGGAAACGGTTGACGGTGAGATATCGGAGGAGGATGACTCGCTGGGAGACGACGACGACGACGACGACGATGGTGAGAGGCTGAAGTGAAACTTCCTGCTGCACAGCAGCTGACCCTCTGGCAGGGTCGAGCAGCAGGGAAGGGACGGGAAGGGGAACGGAGAAGGTCAGTTTGTGACTGCCCTGTTCCACCTTGACTTGGAGGACGATGAAGATGTCGAAGAGTAAGAGGAAGAGGCTGAAGGAAAAAGAACGTCTGAAGAGGAAGAAGGAGAGGTGAGATCCGAGTGAAGTCGCAAAGAACCCTTTAGCTGATCGATCTCTTCTACTTGCTCCTTCTTACCTGCTCCTGCTCCTGCTCCGGCTCCTGCTCCTGCTCATTCCCCCCCTTTCCTCCTGCTCCTCCTGCTCCTCCTTCTCCTGCTCCTGCTCCTGCTCCCGTTGCCCCCCCCTCCTCTTCTTTCTTGCGCTGGCAGAGAATGGATGTCGATTCACCCGCTTGATCGGATGCGGATGATGAGGGAGAAAGGAGTGAGACCGACGGCTCCTCACCATGTTTGACGCTGACGTCATGCGCAGCTTGACGGCAGGATGGCAGTGGAGAGAGAGCTCGAGAAGGTGCGGGCAGTGAGGGAGGAGTTAGCCGCCAAGGAGCCCAGCAGGAGCGAGGTAGAGAAGCCGTCGAAGATGCTCTTCGAGCAGTCGCAGACGATGAGGAGATTCGAGATGCGGGACCCGGGAGCGGAAGAGCTCAAGTCCGACCGAGGTCTCATGCAGAAGTTCTTCATCGATGGAATGAGGGATGGGGTAATGTATGAGGATAGATACCCCATCAAGGTCAGGAGCAGGCACGAGAGGCTGCCAGGCAACGTGTCGAGCTGGAACTCCATGCACGTAGAGCGATGGATTGGCAGGCATGCGTCTTCGTTCGGGGAGGACAGCGCTACCCTGTACAAGAAGATTTTCTCAGCGTTCAGGGTGGACGGGCGGCACCTGACCAACGTAGATAAGCAAGATCTGGAAGATATGGGCGTCCAAAGTCAGCACGTGAAGATCTTGTTGGACCAGATTCGTCCTCTCCGCATGCAGATGGTGTCCTTGCAAGAAGAGGAGAGGAAGATGGAGAGGAGGAGAGCAGAAGAGAAGAGGCTTGCTCTGAGGAGGCGGGAGGAGACGAGCTTGCAGACGGATCAGGAGAGGGCGGGCGCGTTGTGGGATAGGAAAGACTCAGAAACGAGACTGCAGCAGTACTGGACGGAAGTTCTTACGAATCACACGATCCAGGTCAAGTCTTGTCGTTTCTCTCGGTTGCTGAGCTATCATGCAGATCTCCACCCCGAAAAGATTGAGAGATCTCCACAAGATCCCTGTGAGCTTCTCCTCCTCCTGCCTGTGCTCGTGTGCTCCTGCTCCTGCTCCTGTGCTCCTGCTCCTGCTCCTGCTCCAATGACCCTCCCCTCAACCAATGGCCACACCCTCACACCTTTCCTCATGTCTTGTTTCCTTGCGTTGAATTTGCTCTGCTCAGGAGCACGACATCTTTGAAGAAGACGAGACAACTCGCAAAGGAGCGTTTCCCTTACCAGGTGAGGAGGGGAGGAGGAAGAGGAGGAGGAGGAGGAGAGAACAATCCTCCCCTCCTCTTCCTCGTCCTTGTTGTCGAATTCCCCTGACATTCTCCTCGTTTTGGTCCCGCAGCCGCTAGTTTGCCAATGGTCCAAACTGACTTTGGGATGCTTCGAGTATACACGGTGAGACAGAAGGAGGGAGGGAGGGGAGGGGAGGGGGAGGAGGAGGTGGAGGAGGAGGAGGAGGAGGAGAGCGACTGACGAGGAGTGTTATAGGAGGCGGACTTGAAGCGTGAAAATGCACATCTCAAGCTCAATGGACCTTGTCCCTTCGAATGCTCTTGTTGTGTGATATAGCATGAAGACAACTATGAAACCAGAGCCCTGAGACCGAACATAACGAGGAGGAGGAGGAGCAGGAGGAAGAGGAACTAGTGGTGGTAGAGTTGGTGGTAGTGTTGGTGCGGTGCAGGAGCAGGAGCAGGAGCAGGAGCAGGAGCAGGAACAGGAGCAGGAGCAGGAGCAGGAACAAAGGATGATTCATTCGCAGAAAGGTTCATTTGCTCAGCGGGTCAACGGGTTGTCATGTAACAATAAGGAAGTGAAGAATTACAAAAACATGAAGACGAGAGGAGGAGGAGGGAGCAGCGGGGGGCACAAGGAAAGGCGCCTCATACTGCTGCTCCAGCACCTGCACAGATCCGGTGGAGAAATCACGAAACCTGTCTCAGCCTGCAGGGAGCTGTCAGACTTGTGGGGTCAACAGGACAGCGGGAAGGAGAAGAATCTTACGAGAAGGTCCCACAGGGAAGGGACTCTGAGATGACAGCCTCCGACAACCCGATCAGATCCGCCTGATGGGTTCAACAGTCCGTTAGTCCTCCCTCCTCCCTCCTCCCCTCCTGCTCCTTCCCTCCTCCCTTCCCCCCTCCCCCTCTTCCCTCCTCCTCCTCCTCCTCTTCCTCCTCATTCCCTTTCTCTCTCTTGCCTCCCCGCATCTTTACTTCATCAGTCCATCCCCACTCTTTTCTCTCCTGTCGCCCTCCCCTCTGCTTTGTCCTGTTTCCTCCTGTTCCTCTCCTCCTCCTCCTCCTCTCCCCTTCCTCCTCTTGTTCTTCTCTCCCCTTCCTCCTCTTGCTCCCCTGCTCTCCTTGTCACCTGCATCGTCGTCGACTTCTTGACCGTCAGTTGCCCATCACTGAGCGTCACTCCTCGCTCCCGATCCCTCGTCACCTTGGCCTGCTCCTCTTGTCACATTCTTTCCTCCTCCTTCTGCTCCTCCTCATCTTCATCATCATCTCCATCATCATCATCTCCATCATCATCATCTCCATCATCATCACCACCACCATTTCCATCATTATCATCATCATCATCGTCATCCACAGCCAGCATAACCACTCCCTTCCCAGCAGCTTCGACCTGCGCGTAGAGAACTTGAGGAGCGATGGTGCCCTGGGACGTAGAGATTTCCTTCGTGATTTGAAGCTGTAAAGCTGTCAGGTTGCAGAGAAAGCAAGGGGGAGAGACTGAGACGAGCAGCAGAAGAGGAGATCAAGAGGAGAGCAAGAGAGGAGGAGGAGGACGAGGACGAGGACGAGGACGAGGAGGAGGAGGAGGAGGAGGAGAGCTAGAGAAAAGGGAGGATGAGAAGGGTTGGGGAGGGCAGCACACGAGAGGAAGGAGGAAGGGGGAAGGTACAAACAAGAGGAGGAGGAGGGGAAAGGAGAGAGCAGAAGAGGAGAGTTGTTTTGCTTGACCTCAAAAAAGATGAAAGGGTATTTCGGTTCCTCAAACAGCCCCCAGATCCAAAGACCAGCTTTGTCAAACCCTGATGTATTGAAAGGTAAGCTCCTGCTCCTCCTCCTGCTCCTCCTCCTGCTCCTTCTCGTCGTCTTTCTCCTCTTTCTCTTCCTTCTCCTCCTGCTCCTCCTCTTTCTTCGCCCAATCTCCACTTCCCTCCCCTCCCTCACTAACCCCCATCCTTCCTCGTTCACCTTCTTTTGCTGGATCTTCTCCGAGCTTCCAGAATCCTCCCTGCACAAACGAGCTGTTTCTGACGATAAGAGGTCCCTGCGGAGGTTCATACCCCTCATCCTCTGCCGCACATGTCAACTCCCTCCCACCCTCCCTCCCTCCTCCCTCCCCTCCCCCTCCCCTTCTCATAGCACCTTGGAAGCATGCAGTCACTGCTAGCTCTGCTCCATCGTCGAGGGCGATCGCCATCGACCATTCCGTCTCCTTCGTCAACGTCGCCAGAGGAAGCTTCTCCTTCCCCTCTGCCATCATCTTCAACCCCTGCGAGGCTCCTCTGACTCTCCTCAGCGCGGCAGGACGAGGATCTGGGAGAAGAGCAGCATGGCACAGCATTGATGTGCTCGCTCGAGGAGCATGGAGAGGAGGAGCGGCATTGAACGCCTTCACCGTCTCTGCCAGCATCGCCGCTAGCGCCAAGCACAGCACCGCCATGCCTTATATGGGACTGCTGCCCGAGAAGCTTCCGAGTATGACTAGTAAGAGGTATTAAATATCATTTGCTGTCCTCCCACTCTAAAGCAATCGCCTCGCCATATTTGTTGCCTCCCTCCTCCCTCTACCCTTCTCCCTCCTCCTTCTACCCTCCTCCCTTCTCTCTCTACCCTTCTTCCTCCTCCCTCCTCCCTCCTCCCAAGTCCTCTTGCTACCTTCATCCTCCTCCTTCCTCTCCCCGCCACCCTCCTCACTGACCTCCAGTCCTCTTGCTACCTTCCATCTTCACTGTCTCTTCTTTGATTTCGCGTCGTCCATCCCCTAGCCCACTCATCACAGCTCCTCGCCTCGCTCCTCCTCGCTCCTCCTCCCTCCTCAACCGCCTGACGAACCACAACTTCATGCTGTGAGAGCTGTCGAGCTTGCCGCCAACATGATCTTCAACATCGATGAAGTCACAGTCTACTTCCCTACCCCTACATCTACAAGGAGCAGCGAGACTACATGGTCGAGCTCAAACGCTCCCTGGACGCGAAGCAGCACTGCATGCTAGAGATGCCGACGGGACGGGCAAGACCATCACGCTCCTCTCGCTCATCACCTCCTACCAGCTCGCACACCCCGAGGTCCCGAAGCTGGTGTACTGCACGCGAACCGTGCCGGAGATGGAGAAGGCGCTTGAGGAGCTGAGGGAGCTGATCAAGTATCGCACGTCCATCCTCGGCGCAGAGGGCGGGAAGATCCTCGCGCTAGGGCTCTCCTCGAGGAGGAACATGTGCATTCATCCTGAGATCTCCCAAGAGTCGGACAGGATCGCAGTAGACGCACAGTGCCGATCCATCACGGCGTCGTGGGTGAGGCAGCGTAAGGAGCAAGACAACAACATCAACGTCTGCAGCTTCTTTGAAGGCTTCGACAAGCATGGCTCTCAGAGTCTCCTCCAGCCTGGCGTGTACACCCTGGACGACCTGAGGAACATGGGGAAGGAAAAGGGGTGGTGCCCCTACTTCACCGCCAGGCACATGATCCGTTACGCCAACGTCATCGTGTACAACTACGCGTACGTGATCGACCCCAAGATCTCTCTGCTGGTGTCACGCGATGTTGAGAAGGAGAGCATCTTGGTGTTCGACGAGGCTCACAACATCGACAACGTTTGCATCGAGGCCTTGAGTGTCAACATCAACAAGAAGAACCTCGACGGCGCTTCGAGGAACATCGCGACCCTCTCCCGCGCCATCGAGAAGAGCAAAGAGCAGAACGCTGAGCAGCTTCGACAGGAGTACGAGAGGCTGGTGGCAGGTGATCCCCCCCCCCCTCCTCCTTCTCCTCCTTCTCCTCCTACTCCTCCTACTCCTCCTGCTCCTGCTCCTGCTCCTCCTACTACTACTCCCTCGCTGACCCAGCCTTGCTTGCATCAGGTCTGCAAGGGTCAGGAGCTATCACCGGAGCTCCTCTCTCCGATCAGTTCGGAGGGGATCCGGTCGGGTTCGCCAACGAGCTCGAGCAGTTGATCCCCGGCGACATCATACAAGCGCACAACTTCATCAGCTTCATGCGCAAGGTCGTCGACTTCCTCAAGGAGCGGCTTCGAGTCTCCAACACGGTGGAGATGACCGACAACGTCCCCTTCGTCCGCTCCCTCATGCAGAAGATGCAGCTGCAGGAGCCCAAGTCCCTCCGCTTCTCCGCCCAGAGGCTCAAGTCCCTCCTGCACACCCTCGAGGTCGTCGACGTGGACACCTACACTCCCCTCTCCCTCGTCGCTGACTTCTGCGCGCTTGTCTCCACGTACACTCAGGTGAGGAAGCTTATGGGTTTGGACGCTGAGCTGGTTGCTGATCTCTTTCTCTCCTCCCCTCCTGCTCTGCCTCTCGTTCCCCCTTCTCCTGCTCCCCTTGTTTCTCCTCTCCCCGCCTCCTTTGCTCCTCCTCTCCCTTACACTGCTCCTTCCTGTACTTGCTTCCCTCCCCCTCTGCTCCCTCTATCTCCCTTGCCCGTCCTCCTCCTCCTCCTCCTCTCCGCAGGGCTTCAAGATCATCATCGAACCCTTCGACGAGCGTCTGCCCAACGTGCCCGATCCCATCCTTCACCTCGCATGCCTCGACGCCTCCCTTGCGATCAAGCCTGTCTTCGAGCACTTCCAGTCCGTTGTCATCACCTCGGGGACCCTGAGCCCTATCGATCTCTACCCCAAGATCCTCAACTTTGTCCCCCTCACCAAGACCTTCGAAATGTCCCTTTCCCGCCAATGTATCTGCCCCATGATCGTCACCCGCGGCTCCGACCAGATGCCTCTCAACGCGCGGTATCAGAGCAGGAGCGACAGGTCCATCATTCACAACTACGGGCGGCTGATCGTCGAGCTCTCCTCCTGCGTTCCTGACGGCATGGTGGTCTTCTTCCCCTCCTACCGCTACATGGAGGAAGTGGTCGGGGCCTGGGCCAACGGCAAAGTCCTTGAACAGATCACTACCTACAAGCTCCTGTTCATCGAGACCCAGGTTAGCTCCTCCTGCTCCTCCTTCTGCTCCTCCTGCTCCTGCTCCTCCTTTCCATCCTCCTCCTCTTCCTCTTCCTCTTCCTCTTCCACTTCCTCTTCCTCTTCCTCTTCCTCTTCCTCTTCCTCTTCCTCTTCCTCTTTTGTCCTGCTCCTCCTCCTGCTCCTCCTTCTCCTCCTCCTGCGCTTCTCTATTGTTCTATCCACTTCCCTCCCCTCCTCTCAAACTTCTTCTCCCTCTTGGCTTCTCTCCCTTCCTTCTCCTCCTTGGCCCTCACACTACTCGTTAAACTGCAGGATGTGGTAGAGACGACTCTTGCGTTAGAGAACTTCAAGAGAGCCTGTGACTGTGGACGAGGAGCCGTCTTCTTCTCTGTAGCACGAGGTGGTGACCTCCCCCATCCTCTCCTTTTTCCTCCTCCTCTCTCCTCCTCTCTCCTCCTCTCTCCTCCTCTCTCCTCCTCTCTCCTCCTCGCTCTTCCAATCCATCCTCCACTTGCCTCGTCTCATCCCTCCGCCAATCTCTCGTCCCTCACCCTGCCTCCTCTTCCTTGTCCTCTAAATCATCTTTGCCCTCCTGTCCCCTCCCCTCCCCTCATGTCCTGTCCTGTCCTGTCCTGTCCTGTCCCCTCCCCTCCCCTCCCCTCCTGTCCTGTCCTGTCCTGTCCTGTCCCCTCCCCTCCTGTCCTGTCCTGTCCTGTCCTGTCCTGTCCTGTCCTGTCCTGTCCCCTCCCCTCCTCCCCCCTCCCCTTTCCTGCTCTCTTCCCATCCTGATCGCTGCCTAACAGGAAAAGTCGCTGAGGGAATCGATTTTGACAAACATTACGGAAGGTATTCATGTCAAGGAACTACCTTGCGGTCTGACATCTTAACCTCAACAGAGCTGTGATAATCATCGGTATTCCCTTCCAGTACACTCTTTCCAAGATTCTCCGAGCAAGACTTGTAAGTTCTGCGAATTTGACCTCACCTTCCTGACATCGCAGCCGTTGAGTTCTTGACTGGTTGGCAGGATTACATGAAGGAGAGGTACCAGATAGACGAGGGAGACTTTCTCACCTTCGATGCGATGAGACAAGTGATTGCTGCTGCTTCTTCACCTTCCCTCCTCCTTTCCTCTTCGCTCCAAGTTTTGAATTTTCCCTGGCATCTTCCTTCGCTTCCTGCGCTGTGTTTTCCCTCCCTCCCTCCCTCCTCCCTCCCTCCCTCCTCCTCCCTCCCTCCTCCTCCCTCCCCCGTCCTTTCAGCTCCTCTTCCACCTCCTGATTCTTCTCCACCTCCTTACT